TGTTGGTTATCCGTATATTCTCAGTTACTGTATGTGTACCTTTCTGGCATGTAGTGTTATTAATGTAAAAAGATGCTTTTCCTCACAGTTTTGCAGATTTTTCCTTGAATTGAACATTTTCTCTTATTTTCTGAAGATTTTCTACTTATTTTGAAGGTTATGCTGCTTATAGCTCTGGATATATGAGATCTGTATTCTTCAGTCTGGTTGCCCGTCTTAAATACTTTTGGATGAATCTGGTTATTTATTATTTACTAATGAGTGTCATGCTTTCACTTCTTCTGGATACATCCTATTTATCTGTTCTTTCTGTTTGAGAGCATTTTTCAGGGCTCAAGTTCTCTTCTGTTCCGTAGCCAACACTGTATTTAAGTAGGGAGTATTAATATCTTGAAAACTATTTGTGCCTTTAGCTGTCTAATGCTAGTGTCTGGTTTCACTTCCATGGTGAGCTATAGTAGTTCCAAACATCTTCATATTAACTGAAAAAACACAATTACAATGAAAGCCCAGCTTGTCTGTAGTTTTAGTTTGTTGTGAGCCATTCTGGACCTCTGTCTTCCCAACATTATTTCTGTCAGGCTGACTCACCCTTTCCTCATATTTTTTCCTTCAAAAAGCCCACATTAAATAAACCCTTTCATTTTCTCTTCATTTTGATGGTGAGCTCTAACCACATGCTTAGTCACTGTATTTGTGCAAACTCTCCTGTTTGCTGAGAATTCAGGTTTTGTGGTCCTCTGATACTCCCTTACTGGCTTTTTTTTTGTGTCTGTTTGCTAGTGATTCATTATCTTTTACTCAAACTTTGATTAGCTAGACTATTGCTACCTTTTTCAGATAGTACATTTTGGCCATAGTAGTAGGGAAAAAGTTCTAAAGCTGAATTTTGAGATTTCACATGTGTTGGAGATTCACTTGGCATTCAAGTCATGTACAAACAGATTGGCTTCCTCTTCCAAACATTCTGCTCCTTCATCCCTTGTCCTTCACCATCTTTGCAGTTTGCTGTAGCTAGATGTCTTTAGTGAAGAATGTTTTGTACTCAGCTTTCAGATGCTTCATTGCAGAGAAATGCAGTTGGTGCAGTTTTTGATCCTCAGTTTTCCATGGTGTACATGTCGTATACCTATAAATACTTTCAAAATCAGGTTCAAGCTTTATAAACAGCACTGAAAGGGCCAGAGGCATGGCATAGAGTGGAAATGCTTCTGGGAGTTAGATCTGAGAAGACAATGGGAAGCAGCATATTGTAGCAAGGAGATTTTATGCTTTGTCTTCTGAATTTGTTTACAGTGAAGCCTGGCAATCCAGTCTGTAGGTGCCTGATACATTGACCATACCAGCCAGATTCTCATATGGGGAGGAACGACAAGATAGAGGAAAAATAATACAATTTTTGAACCACGTGCTACCAAAAGCATATGCATTCATGTCCTCTGAAGAGTCAAAGAGGACCTAGAATTTCCATCCAACTTTTTGGATGGGAAAGAATTGCTGTTTCCCATCATGAAAAGGTGGAGGTCTTCAATGTGTTTCCCCTTGCAAAGAAGCATCACTTTGGTCTTGTCTGGATTCAGTTTGATCCATCTGTTCTTCATTTAAGAGCTAATTTCCTGTAGTTATTCTGATGTTTTATAGTGATGATAGTTGCATCAGAAAATGAGATAAATAGTAGATTGTCAGCAACATACTGTTAGCAATTGAACACATGCCATATCACTCTCTCTCAGCAGTCTCATGTAGATAGATGTAGATTGTATGGATGCCTGTGGGACCCTGAAGGTGAGGACCTTGGAGGAAGAGGCTTGTATCCACCACCTCTTTTTTAATTACGCATAGAACACAAGATGCTGTACTAGTGTGTGGCTGTGACTGTGTAATAGAGGATTCAGGAGTCTGAGAATAAGAATGTGGAGATTATAGTTCCATGTTGGTGAAAGTTTTATAAATTCCTCTAGGAAGCTGTTGGAATTTCCATCTGTAGTTTGTATATCACTAGGAGTCCTGCTTTCTCTAGTCTTTTGTCTCACAATGCATATGGATATACTCAAAAATGTTTTCATTTCTTAGTGGAACATCTTTTGCATCTGATATTGAGGCCATTGGACCCTTCCTCCATGTTTTCTTTCTTTTTTAACTTCTGGTACTTATTTCGTGCAGCTGCTGATAGTGTTCTGGTATCTCTCTGGGTTATTCTGAAGGGTAGCTCCACTAGAACAGGGTTGAGATGGTATTGAGTCATAACTCAGTGATGAAAAAAGTCCAGTATTTCATCTGCAAAGAGAGCAGGAGCAGGAGTCTTCTTTTTCTAAGGGAAAACTTTGCATCTGGCAGCAAGAACTTCAGGTAGTTTTTTACTATCATTTTTTGGATGAAGTTACAGTTTAAGTGACTGGCTGCAAATACAAGCTGGTGTTGTTTATTGTAAGGTGTGGTGTTCTGGGAGGGTGAGCCCTCACCATGACAATACAAAGGATGTAGAAAAGTAACACAGAATGGCATGCAAGGTTTTGGTAAGTCTGGTTTGACTCTTTTGTTGGGGTTTTTTTTCTGGTTCCCACAACCTAGAAACATTGTAGAGAGTAGTCTCTATATTCTTGAATGGTTGGCCCTTACGCATATAACAGCAGACAAGCAGTGTTGGAATCACAGTGTGGTCTGCATACCAGGGTAGCATTTCTCCCAGGGTTTTAAAACTCTTTCACTGACACAAGACAGCAGCAGATGTTTAGAGGGTGGAAAAAATCAGAGATGGGGAGTTAATGGCAGGAGCACAGAGCTGTGGGTTCTTCAGCAAAACCAAAGGTAAAAGGGTTGGTAGGCTCAAAACCAAAATACAACCCCCTAAAGCTCTGAAAATGTACCTACCTAGTTTTGATTATTTTTAGTTTCTGGTGGTAATATTTTCTGCATCTGACACTGAGAATACAAGACCCTTCCTCTTCTTATAATTAGTCAGGAGGAGTGTGTATATCAGGATGAGACTAATAGTTTTTTTCAGGGCTATTGATAGAATCTCATGCATTGTAGCAGTTATTAAGACTTTGACATCACTTGTGTTTCATATAACATGGAGATAATTTCCTAGGAATCAGTCATGGAGACAGATGGTTTGCATGTCAAGTCAAGGTGTCTGGATGACAATTTTGAGGGTAACCATGGGAAAAATTAATGCTTTCAAAATACGTGGATGAACCATAGCTTCCAAAGAGAGCAAAGCAAATCCCCACACTCAGACGCTTTCACTGAAGACAGGATATTTGAAATACAGGTATTCTTGCAGGGACCTATCTCTATTAAAGCCAAAATTTGAAGAAATTACCTCAAGAACTACCTCACTAGAACTACCCCAAGAACTTACCTAAAGAACTAATTCTGCATTACAAAGCACTATTTATACTTGACAAATCTCTGTCTGCTGTGGACTGGAAACAGCACAGTCAGTGCAGTTCTAATGTTAGGGATTTACTTTCATGTGTTCTATATACACAGACATATATACATTGTCTGCATTGTCAAAAACCTAAACCTCTTCTTTTATCAGAAGAAAAAAAAATTGTGGAACTGTGATGAATTAATCTGTTGGTTATGCAAGTTTATCAGTAGTTGCTCAATGGTTCATCTTATTTCACTTTTTTCAGTGACTTAGCATGTTTATTCTTCTACTCCTGACTTTCATATGAAATCATTTCAGTCTACTAAGCTGTAATATGCTTAGGCTGTGATGCAGTTTCTTTCTAAAAAAGTTAGACTCTTATGGCTTGCACATCAATATTTGTGTGATTATAGAACAAGATATTGTTGCTAAAGCTAGGAAAAGAATTTATTTTAACTATAATTCATTTATATTTATATTTAATCTTTAGGTTTGGGTGGGGTGTAGGATAATGTGTGAATGAATATGTTGCCTCCCTGACTGCTTAAGAGAAGCATTTTTCTTCCCTTATCCCTTATTTCTCTGCTGCTAATACAAAGGAAAAAAAAATGAACCCTTCCTCTTTTCCTCCAGGTAGGTAGGTCAGGAAGAAGCTCTTGCTTTGCTCTCTTTTAATAAATCATTGTCAGAATAGGTTCCGTATGACTACATGAAAGCTGGAGAGCTCATTTGTTACTCCCCCGGGTATCAGCAGACATGCAGATGTGTGCAGAGGAGTGCAGTCCAATGCATGTGCCCTCATTATGCTTAGTAAGACATTGTGAACAATGCCAGTTTTCCTTACTTTTATGTATTCATTAGTTTGAAGAAACTAATGCCAAACTTCAAAAACTGTCATTATATATAGCTCCCCATAGAAAATCTCTATTAATTTGTGGGTGAGGGACAGGCTATTTAAATCACAAGATTTATATTTATTAAGCTGTTTTCCCTGACTGGTAAACTGGTACAAGAAACTAAAAATGGATGAATAAACACTCATAAGACCCATAGAAGAAAAAAAAACCCAACAAAATTTACACAATTGCCTGAAACTTCTTAAGCAATGAAAAATACAACCTTAGAGATCAAGTGTTTCCCATTAAAAATGATTTTGTTCAATTTATTTAGTCATCTGTCTAAGCTGTTATGTGTATCCCACATACACACATGCGAACACACACAAACACACATAATGCACACATGGAAAGTTTGTAGTCATATGGTTAAAAGAGTTGTGAGGAAAATGTATCCTATTTACTGCTTAGCTATGTGACCAATGTAGAACTGTAATACAAATCTCAGAAATATCCATCCCATTGCTTTTTATTACTGAAGAAAGCAGATCAGGATGATAACAGCTGGATGCAAAAAGCAATCATATTTTCAGTGTAAAGATACTGCTATTGCTTAGTAAGCTATAGTCCATAAGTGTATTAGGGCGATATACTGGCGTGCCCTGGATGGTTTTTATTCTTTTTTCTTAAAAATATCTTCCATTTTCACCCCCCACTAAGAAGAAAGCAATGTTTCCCATCAAGACATGAAGTGAGTTTGTTTTTCACTTTTGCCTTTCATATAGGGACACAGAATATAAAGGACTACAGCTCTCCCTGGATCAGGTCACTGCTACCAAGCCGGCGTTCTCATACGCAAATTCAGCTCCGACCATTACGGATAATAGAAAGGGAAGCAAATCTCGCCTCTCGAGCACAAAGTCAAAATCCAGGACATCACCGTACCCACAGGTAGCTGTCTTTGAAAAACTAAATTAAATATCTTTGACTATCTTGATTTTGGCTGCTACTTTACCCAAATAACTAGAATGGGCCAAAGAACGTATTACTTGAAGGGAATAAAGGACAGCAGGTTCTATGAGCTTGAGACAGGAATATGTTTCTTTAAACTGCTTCTAAAAAGCTGGAAACATTTATGTTTCAGCATGCATAATAAATCATTATCAACAACAATAGCAGCACAGGGCTCAGAGTTAATGAGAAGCCGACAGAAGGACAAGTGAAAATGTTGGTTTTGAAATACTTGATTTGAGAAGACTGTGAGTTTTGCCATTTGAGAAATCTCACTTTTTCTTACTTGGTCTTTACTAATTGCAAGAAATCTAGAAAGCTGCCAGATATTAGATAGCAGTTAATACTGAAATTGTAGTCAAGAGGAATGAGTTTTGATGAGGGAAAGCAGTCAACAAACTCGGCGAATTGGAACAAGAAAATGTGTACTTTTCTGTGTGTAAACCTTTGAAAGGAAGAAAGCAGTAGGAGGTGGTAATTGGCATCAGTAGATTTTAATTTCCCAGATTTCATTTTCAAGTCTAAGTTGTAAGGAACATGTCCCAGCTTGGAGAATGGACCAGAATCAATTGGGTCTTTGAATTAAAATTTACCCAATATGTTTATGCAACTGATTTCTGCAGGCAATGTCATAGTACTTCTATCCTTACACTATCAAACTTTTAGCTCAAAAAACATGTTTGTTTAAATAACTGTGATCTTTACTAATGACACAAGTCCTACTGCTCTTATGCCTCTACATAACAGGATATAAATGGATATATAAACAAACTGGATATAAATGTATGAATTCAAGATGTAAGATTGAAGAACTATGTATTTTTAAAGAGCCCAATATTTAGTAGAATATTTAAAGAAGCTCAATATTTCACTGATAATGACCGTAATAACTACAGTCTCTTTGCAGGTGCAATGTTTTCTGAATGGACCTCTAAGAGAGGCCCAATGTGATCCCGAATATGTACATGACTTCCTTGTTTTCTTTCTTTTTCCTCTCAGAAGTACCAAAGATAAGAATTTCAGTTAAATGGCATCTGCTTTTGGCACAGGAAGTATTTAACTGAGCACCTGGATATGAATTCCTAATTTTAAGAATCTAACATTTTTCAGAGGTTATTATAGCTCACTTTTTCATGCTTGTCTCTGTGAGTTTTTAAAAAAAGCCTTTTTCCTGGATGCACTACATCATTGTAACAATTGTAATCAGTTTAAAAGAACTGGGGAAGATACATACAAATAATTCTAAATTCAATTTTTATGACTGTCTTTGATATATTGTAATTACAGTTCATCTTTCCTTATGCAGTCCCTTCCAAAGTATTCATTTGCTAGCAGGACAATCCCAGCTGAAGGCTTATTATCCTTCCACATCTATCTGATTTCTAAAAGTATGACCTCCTTATTCTTTCTGTCACCAGAGAAAAATACTGAATGAGCAATGCAGCATTGTGGTTTATCAGGGATTGTTGTATGCTTTTGGTTTATCAGGGATTGTATGAAAGTCCAGGGTGCTTAGTCTCCACTTTCATTTTGCATCCTCATTACCAGCTGCCTGATATTAAAGTCACATATTTCATCATTCAAAAAGAAGCAGCCATGTTAGTTGCCAGTATCTTGAAAAATGGTCATGCCATTCATTGCAGCCCATCACCACAAGTAATGCTGGCAGCTTGGCTTTGCCCCTCTGTCATCCTTCTCCACCACTGAATAAACTGTTGAAAGACTAAGAGAGGCTGCTGTGAAGAACATGCAGCAGGTGGTACAGCCTGTGTCCCTCAGTCTCCTGCCCATGTAATTTGCCAGACAGTAGAGGAGAATTAGAGTGTGACTTAAAAGTCACAGCTGAAGAGTGGGGTCACAGGTTTTGGCTTACACAGGAGCCTGAGCTGTGGTGAGGAAAGGAAGCAGGAAATTTATTAGTAAAATAATGGCAGTAGGGAAAATACTTCTTAAGGTCAGGGACATCTATGAGATTTTAAAAGTGCATAATTTCTTTCCCATTTTCCCCTTTTCTCTTGTTTTCTTATAATTTACTTTGCTTCTCTCTTGAAGAGAAAAAGAAATCATATGCTTTATTGGATGCTGACTGAGAATCCTTCACCTTGCCAGCTGTGTGTCCCTAAGATAGGTACATGAGATGTGAACAGTATGAAAATTTTACTAATCAATCTCAGCTGAATCTTTACTACTAGGGCAAAAAGTGGGTGTTTCAATCATCTAAGACAGTGTTGAAGTTTTTCCTTCAATTCTTATGCAAAAGTAAATATAGCATAATGTGCATCTTGCGGACTCTCGAGTGAAACTGAGTTCATTGAACTGGAGGCATTGGTCATCATCTGATTAGCACATTGTGCTGTTGGTACACTGGGCTAGTGGGTTCTGTGAAACCAGCCTCAGGCAGGGGAAGGGGAGCAACCTCCTCAGCAGAGAGGCGAGCAACCCAAAATTAATGGCCCAGCTGCAGAATTTTCTCAGAGAGTCTGAAGAGTGCTTTTCTAGTCCTGTCCCACCAGAGAGGTGCAGAGCTGAAAGAGATGGTGGGGAAAAACCAAAAAGGCAGATGAAAATTTGATGGATATTTGCAGAAAAAGGAAATAATGAGTTGGTGAAAAGATGCCTGCAGTCTTTCCCCACATCATCATCATCATCATTATCATCATTGTGAAGGCCTCCCAAAATCTAGCCCTGCACCTTTGTACTCCCAAAAACTAGCCCAGGACCTCATTAATTCCATACGCAGGCAATAGCAGCAAGACTAGAAAAACATTTTAATTATGATCATCTGAACTGCTTTGGAGTTTAATGTCCCATTAACGATGATTGTATAAAAAAATGTTTAACTTGCTAGTTGTCTGCCCCTGCAGTGGAAATGTTTCATGGTGAGATCTGGATAAATGTTTATTGCTTCATATCTCATCTTAGTTCTTGGATAAAGATTTTATATATACATATATATATATAAAATGAAAACACACATACAAGTAAAGATGTACCCAAGAGCTGTTGGATGGAGGTATAGGTATATATTAATGGGTAGGTACATAGGTGTATATATTAATGCATCAGCTCTCAGAGATATATTAATTTTATATCTCCTTTAGATGGATAATTTGGATTAATTCTGCAATTCATCACTATTTGGGCATATCACCGAATGGAGTAAAGATAACAGAATCAGGAAGAATTCTAGCCAGTCTGGCTTTTGTTTTGTTTTAATTTCTTCCCGTAGCCTAAAGCTTTGGCAACTTTTAGTGTGTTCAAAAGCAAAGCAAACCCCTCTTTTTATAGTAAACATAACTCCTGGTCTGGTGAAGAGTCACCAGCAGTGGGGGTTATTTTAATGGACATGCTGTATTACTTTAATCTAAGCCTTTCACCATCTGTTGTGCCTATAACAGTGAATGTGAAAAGAGCATATTTTTCATTTCAGGATTACATTAGTAAAATGTAAGATAAAAGTGATTTAAATCATGCATATGTTCTTAGTACAATGCAGCCTGCATCTGTGATGTTTTTTTTTCCTCATGGTTCAGACACAAATCAAGAGAAAAGCTGTTAATGCTGATGTAGTGAAAGTTTTTCATGGAAAAGAGGGCTCTGTGAGGGTTTCACCATATATTTAATGTTTATAATGATAAAAGCCTGAGTAGGCTGCCAGAAGATTATATATCTATAATGTGTGCTGTTTGAACATCTGGGGTGGCATGTAGAGCAGACTGATGCTGCTCTGTATGACAGGACAAGTCCTCAGGCCAGTGAGACACCTGTAGGAATAGAAGGGCAGGCAAAAGAAAATCACACGAGAAATATTAAATGGTCTAATGGCCTAATACACTTCCCTGGACTCTCATAAAGTAAGTTTCCTTAGACATGGAATTTATATCTTCCTATTTCCTTATCTCTTTAACCCTCCTGAAGTTTTTCCTGAAATGAAAATGCATCAATGATGGCCCACAGACCTTCTCTTTGTCAGTGCTAATCCTGCTGGTGCGCTCTCACTTTGATTGTATGCTGGATTACCACTCTGGAAGACATTTCTAATTTTCAGAGGTGACAATTCAGGTTCCAGGGGCCAGCTGGAGCACCATTTAATTTATATTTTGTTATTTTTTATGCCAGATGACAATTCAGAAATCACCTGAGGGGAATTCAGATGTTGCCAGTTTGACGCTCTTTATCATTATCTACTGATTAAACTTTGTCAAAAACTCAAAAGTAATAAATTAGTTTTGCCTTCTGACTCCTGATAGTAGTCAGAGAGCAGAAATTAGCAGAAAATAAAGTGTTTCTGCTGAGACATGACTGAGATTGACGAAAAGACCCAACTGATTTTAATTTAGCATAATTTTCATTAAATCGTATTTAATTTTTTATGGGTCTTTCATCACTTGACATATGGGAGCCTAATTCTGACTTGAGAGATAGTGTTTCCACTCCCATTTCAGTAAAGCAATATCTTTGATCACCCTTTCATTTCTCCCCCATCAACATGTCACACATGCCCATATTTGAAGTCTCCACCTGTCAACATCAGATTCCCAGAAGAGGCAGTGGCTGCACTGCAGCAGTGGAGGCAGCCTGAGGATGCCAAATAGAGATGTGGCTGGCTTTAAAGGAAATTAGACATATTTTTCCTCTGTGTATGCTTATGTTGCACCTTAGGAGTAAATACTCATATCAAACCTTGGCAGAAAATGTGGACAAGCAATTGACTGTGTTAATTTAATTCTGTCCATGGCCTAACACCTGCCATGGGTCAAATCTCAGATAATCTTCGTTCGCATCAAGTAGGAAGAAGATGAGTCAAGTGTCGTTGGTCTTGATACATGGTTGTATGACATCACACAGTGCATTTCTGAGATACTAGATATAAAACATATGAAATAATTTCCCTTTCTTTAAGAGAAGTGCACAAAGGCCTTTTGTGATTAGGTTCAAGATAAAAGCAGACATTGCACAACTTTTCAGTTAAATGAAGATATTCCCTTCAAGAGAAGCTATGTTGGACACTGAAGTGTCCTTAGAAAAAGAGAACTAATAGAAGAATATCTAGTAGAGATAGGGCAGGAAATTAGGAGTTGTCAGTTTGAAAGATTTTCTGGCATTTATTATCATCATAAATAGTCCAAAAAGAAATTTCATTGTAATATTATTGGAAATTAATTTTCCTTGTCCTTGTCATGAAAGAAATACATACTAGGAGTTTTATTTTTAATAAGAAAACAAATGAACTCTTGACTTTTCTATATTTGCTTTTAGGCTTATGCTGTATAATATTTCTGCTTAACTTTTAAAATTAAAAAAATCTGGTTTATACAAGTCAAATTCAAACAGTGCATTAAAAACAGTTCTGAAATTAAAAACAGATTAAAATGTATTTTCTTCTTTTTTGATTTTTCTTCCTAAATAAAATTTAGTAACTATTAATCTTGTTAATAATTTTAAATTTTTTAAATTGGAAACTTAATTTTATCACATTTTTTGTAAACAAGCTTACAGTAATTTTTGTTTAGTAAAAAACCTTACAATACATTTTTGTAAAAAAGCTTACAATAATTCAGCTGTTATTTGTGAAGGTGTCTTTGTGATTAAGCAGTTTGTAAATGTTAGGTCTGAAAGGATAATAGAAAAGACAGATGCTCCATTTGATGAAAATAACACTGTGGTGACTGAACAAAGTTCCTAGTTAGTGTATGTTGAGTTACTGGCATTTAAAAGAGCTCTTTTGTGGCTCTGTAACTATCTAACCTTCATGAAAATTCATGTTTTGCCTTTCATCTCTAAACCTTTGTGATGAGTATGGTGGCACTAACTTTCTGACCTCCTCCACGTCTACTGGTAGGCTTGTTGCCTATGGATACTCTTCTGACAACTAATAACAAAATATAATTGACTTCTTCAAAGCCATGACCCTTTCTTTGTTTCCTTTAAAAAATCTATCATGTTCACAACCTAAACAGTATTCACAAATAGAAACTGGAATACTGAAGCAATGCCCAATTAAATTAAATGCCCAATACCCAAGAAACTCCACTGATGTTGCACACATGGTTTAGGTTTCTCTAAGTCAAACATCTGGTAAGTACTTTCGATTGGTAAGTGCATAAAACCTTGATCCTGGCTGATAATGAGGAGTTTCATAGCAACTTAATCTAATGAAAAGGAAGGTAACCTTATGTTAGGCCTATTAAAAGCAAAGGCAGAGTGGGCATATGGAAGGTGAGTGATGGAATGGGAGAATTCCAAGGTTTCATATTGTAATACATTGATTTGTGACATGAGTGTGCAGCGCTGAAGAGGTGAGCATGTACAGCTTTGGTCTCATCCCAGCCCATAATCATGGGTGAAATTGATTTAAAAATGTTCCGTGAAGTTTGACAGTTCCAATAAATAAAAAGATTTAAAAATGAGATAGCTAAATCCTAGGGGGTTTAATAAACATTCTTTTCCTTTCCCAAAAGGTATCTAAAAGTTGGAAGCATATGAATATGAATATCTAGAAATCTGTGACATTTAACTTAACCCTTACTTCTCTCTAAACAAATTCTCATGTTCCTGTCCTGACTAATTTTCCAACAACCTATTAGTTGCTTTTCTGTGTTGGGAGGACCCTGCTTTAGTGAGGGCAAACAATGCTCATTTTGCCTGCTTTGGTTAGCACTCACCTTTACTGGCAAATAGTTTCTGGATTTCCTTTGTTCCTGTACTGCAACAGAGCTGGGATTTTTAGCTTCCTACCTATCTGCCATCACTTTAGAGCTTTTAAAATTGTTGGTGGTGCCAACTTTTCCTTCCTAATAAGAGGAAATAAGTTCAAAGATACAACTCCAAGTAAGAAAAAAATATTAACAAACAAAATATGAGAAAAAGAGAGTGAACCCTTAGAAAAAATCTTTCAAATACATTCGGTTTCAATTTGACATGTGAGAATGCTCCAGGAGCAGTGTTATTTCAGTTCCTTTTGGAAGTGTTTTGCTGAAGTGCATTGGAGCACCTTGGCTGAGCATAAGCACAGCTTTCAAAGCAACAAGAAAAACCTGGACATACTAAAAATATATTGAATTGCAACATTGATGTTTCTGAGCCTAATATTACACATCATAAAGGAGATGGCTGTTAAGGGCCGACATGGGATGTTTTAGATTTTCATGAGGTCTGTCCTGTCGTCCGTGAGCTCATTACAGAGTGTTGTACAGGAAAGGACCAGGAGCCCAATCAGAAGGTGCAGACACGCTCACAAAAAACGCACTGTCACATACACACCCTGCCTCCCCAGTGCAGTTACGTGCAGGTTTCACCCAGGCGTGGTAATTCCCGTGCTGCTTCTCCTGTTTTGCAGTATTCCGGGTTTCACACGGAGAGATCCGAGTCTGACCACGAGAGCCAGTGGGGTGGGAGCCCCCTGACCGACACGGCCTCCCCACAGCTCCTGGAGCCCACGGACAGAGCGAGCTCCCAGCCCCACGACGTCTCCTGTGCCTACAGACAGTACTCAGACCGCAGCGCGCTCTGCTACGGTTTTGCCCTGGACCACTCCAGGCTGGCTGACGACAGGCATTTCCACAGCCAGGCCTGTGAGGGAGGCAGATGCGAAGCTGGCCGGTATTTCCTTGGCACGCCGCAGCCGGGAAGGGAGAGCTGGTGGGGCTCTCGCTCAGCCTTGCCTCTGACTAAGTCGTCCCCCGAGAGCAGAGAAGCGTATGAGAACAGTATGCCCCACATCACGTCAGTGCACAGGATTCATGGTAAGACATAACAAGGATTTGCAGAAGCGACACCATCTCAGCTAAAGCAGTACGACAGAGACACAGCTGTTTATGTGAAAGGCGGCAAATGAGATGCTTTTGGTGTATGTGCTTGTCTCAGAGATCACATCTGCGGAGATGATACTTAAAATTCAAGCTGAGCTGAATTTTGTAGTCTGGTTTATATGAAGAAAAATATAGTTTTGCTCTATTTTCATTGTGAAATTAAGGTGGAAAAATGTGACTGAGGAGATTTTAAGCATGATCTTAGAAATATTATCAAAATTATCCACTTGATAGAAAAGTGGATTTTTATTTGACTTAGGATCAAGACTCTTTGGATGGAATACAATACATGGAATACATGGAATACAAGACTCTTTGGATGGAATACATTTACATAAAAAATTATAGGTGAATCCAAGCTAGATATTAAAAAATCTTGAAAACTGTTGGAAAAATTGTTCTCTGAGTGACATTTTCCCCTACTGGTTATTATTAGATTCTGCATGATTTGATGTTTTTTTAAAGTTGGCTATTGAAATTGACAGTAGATTTTGGTTTAGACATTTATCCTCAGTGATAATTTTTAGTCAATTTAAATCTCTCCATCCTTTCAGCACAAAGCCTGAAATTTTGTTTAGTTTCTGACAGGTTGCAACTCAGTCCATTAACATATTTTCAGAGGCTGAAGCTAATAAAAAAACCACAGTGAAAGCCTGATACTGAGTTTGGAAAAGTCCAAAAGGTCCTTGGTTTCAAAATTATAGGCTTAGTGTTGGAAGACAGTAGCAGGCCCTAAAGTCAGAATTCAAGGTTTTAAGAATGGCTGCAAGATAAAAAAAGTTTTTCCACAAAAGGGTCCTTCAAAACAAATGTTGCCTCTAAAGAACTCATAAAAGCAGATTACATTAGTACTATTCCATTGATCTGCCGAATGAGGCTTTGTTAACAAAAAGAGCTGTTCTGTTTTGCTCCAATCTGAGGAAAATTATGTTGAGATTAGAAAAAATTATTAAATAGCAAGTTCCAGGAAATACAACCAGAGAAAAAAACCAGAAAATTTTGCTGATGAGAACTGTTCTCCACTTTTCCTGTGAGAACATGCCTCCTTCCTTGTGTCTGTTCTGTTCTTCTGCCCTGTTTGTGTTTTTCTAGCTTTTTCTTCCCAAAAAAAGAGAATCTAGCAAATTATGATAATCTGTTGGCAAATTTTATGCATGATAATTCTTGCTGAACACAGAAATATCATAGTGAGGTACAAATGGAAAAGTGTTAGATATTAATTCCATATCTCTATCAAGAATAATTAACCCAAATGGGTAACATAATTTGGTCATAGTGTGTTGTTTGGCTTTGCTGTAATTTCAGATGCTGCAGGTTTGTTTTGTTGGGGTTTTTTTATGTCAAGTGTTACATTTTTCGGTAGGTCTTCAGTCTGTGCGTAGCTTTGGGGGAAAAATCTGACTAGCCCTGGCATTTTGGGTCCAAATGAGGATGTGAAGGATAAATTCATGTCCATGATAGCCCACAGTGCAGTACTTCCCCAGCAGTGGCAGGATATTTTTCTTGCAAAAGCCCATCACTGATTTTTCTAGTGTACTCTGCAATGCAATGGTATTGGTCTGCAACCCAAACAGATCTGTATGCCTTGACCCAACACAAAACAGGGGAAACTTCATGTGCTAGTCTGAAAATGGGTTTGCTTTGAGGAGTACGGTCAGCCAACCCAAAGTGTTCATCCCCAAAGAGGACTTTGTGTATGCCAAGGCAGAGGCATCGATAAGTAACACGTGCAAGTCACACACAGGCCCTCCTGCAGGAAAGCATCTCAGCAAATAAAACCCTTTATCATAATGTTGACCATTCAGGTTTTGGGGCCACTTGCTTTCTTTCTGGTGAGCACTGACAGGTATGATTCTGTCCTTTCAGCTACTTGCAAGCTGAACACCTTGTCTGATATGTATATGGGCCTTATTTTTTAAAGAAAGGTAAGAATGCCATAATATTTCCCATTTCAAAAGCAAATATTTATACATGGGGATATGAGATCACATTTTTACAGTGTCCCTGTCTAACAGCTATAGGTTCTTGATCTTTTGAAGAAGAGTTCCCTTACCACTTGTGGTTATTTATTGCTGTGTATCCTGCATCAAGTCTCAACATAACCACAAGATATTTCTCAATGCTGTCTTTGTTTTAACTCCTGGAAGGGCTGGAATGTTGTACATTTGTAATTCTCTGAGATTTTTATTTTTACTATGGACCCAATCCACTCAGACCTTGTTGATGCAAAGAGGTAGTAAGGGGCCAGGGGCCTGAACACTGGCATTGATGGCACCTTGACATGCCCTAGGATATCCTGCCTGGTCTCTAGCTGCTCCAAAAGAGTTGCTTTCGAGTTGCTTCCATACCTGCAGGGCTTATCCAGGTACTTGGCTACCCAAGAGCGTATCAGGCGGCACCAGATACCTTTGCTGAGATGCTTAGGTCTCTTTGCATATTATCAGCTGTGCAGCTTGTTTCAAGTGGAGACTCTGGAAACTAGAGTTTGTCACTGAAAAGCAAGGGGTCTTTTTTGCTGACTGTTATGACCCACCTCTGACTTGATTTTCTGTGTGTGGAATTAGGTTCAGATTCATGTTCTTCAAGATCCCTTAAACCTCAATGCTTGTCTCCTTTCTCTCTTTCCTAGGAAGAGGACACTGGGATGAGGACAGTGTTGTTAGCTCACCCGATCCTGGCTCTGCCAGCGAGTCAGGCGACCGATACCGTACCGAGCAGTACCAGAACAGTCCGCACGAGCCCAGCAAAATTGAAACTCTCATTAGAGCCACCCAGCAAATGATTAAAGAAGAAGAAAGCAGGCTACAGCTGCGGAAAACCACTCCTGACCCACTGGTGTCCATTAATGGCACAGGGAAGAAGCACGCTATCTGCTTTGCAAGCTACCCTCAGCAGCAGCTGGCGGCGGATGTCTGCCGCGTGCCAACAGTTGCCAACACTCCTCCCTGTGAACACATCCAGCAGCGGGATGGGAAGATCATGAGCCCACACGAAAATGACTACGACAACAGCCCCACAGCACTGTCTAGGATAAGCAGCCCCAGTTCTGATCGAATATCAAAATCTAGTTTGGTACTTGCTAAAGACTACCTGCATTCAGACATGTCTCCTCAACAAACCCAAGGAGACCACCCTGCAGCCTCTCCAAATTATTACAGCTCCCACAGGCAGTACTTTGATAAGCATGCTTACACACTAACTGGATATGCCCTGGAGCATCTATATGACACTGAAACAATTAGAAACTATTCACTAGGCTGTAATGGATCTCACTTTGATGTGACTTCTCACTTAAGGATGCAGCAAGATCCAGCACAAGGACACAAGGGAACATCTGTTATAATAACCAATGGAAGCTGACACTTTTTTTTCTAAAAACTTTTGCGCTTTAAAAAATAACCTTTGAGATCTAATTGGAAGATATTCTATGTTTTCACGCCCTTGTCCTTACCAGCATTTCCCATACCACAGTGCACTAGAAAGAAGAACCTAAGGTTTGGGGGGATAAGTTAGTTAAAACACATTACTTAAGGAAAAAAAACAAATGCACTGGCATGCAGGGTTAGAGTAAATGGAGTTCAATGCAAAGTTGGTGCCATGCATGCTGAGAAGGATAGAAGAGGTTCGGGCAGGGAGTACCTGTGGCAGAGCAATTTATCCACATTGTGTAAGAGGTGTTGTCCAAGGGCAGATCTTCTGAACTGCATAGATACCAGGCAGCAGAACTGCTATGCACTCTTTTTACACAGGAAGCTGGGATGTGTCCCTTCAAAATACACAACAAAATGTGTACTTCTGGTGATTTGTTTACTCCCCAAAGGCCAAGTATGTTGTGCTGCTGTATGGTATAAAACATCCATGGCTGACCAATATAAGATCAAAAAAGGGAGAAAGAAGAGAGAACTCCTCGAATTGTTGTGTCCTTGTGTACTCACAAACATAGCTATTTACATATGCTTGATTTGAAAAGAGTCCTTATGATTAGTATGGTCAAATGTTTACTGTATTAAAAAGAAAGGGGTGTTCTCACTGTAGTTTTGAGAAACACAAAGGGCTTGCTTGTCTTGCTGTAGAGATGGGAGATGGTTCTCATGTTTTTGTAAGGTCGCCCATGGTGGCTAGTGGAGTGAAATGGAAAAAAATTGCTTGGAGGAACAGGGAGAATAGACTGGAATTAGGAGTGGTCCAAGGTAAACACTTAACCCTGTAGCTAAGTATGCCATTTAGTAATAATTATAAAATAAGGAAAAGTGGTTGAATAATTAAGAATTAATTTAAAACACAGAAGGAACTCAATAGAATCATAGAAATATTGCTGTAAAATACAAATGCAGTTGCATAAATGTAAAAATACATGAGTTAAGAATAGGTAAAAACTCTTTGGCAGTTTGTCTAACTTCTGATAAAGTTTTGGAGTAAATTAAGAGAGTACAGAGTATCATAACTACTCTGTCTGAAACTCTGTGAAGTAACAGGCATGACCTTGATAAAGAAATATAAATTCTCTTCTTGATTGCAGCAGATAATTTAATGAATATCAGAAAATATTTTGGATATTAAAATCAGCAATATGCACATAAAAAAGTAGAGGGAAATCAGTGTTCCAAGGAATTAAATTGCATTAAGAACGCTGGTATTATCAAGGCCTGTCCTGGAGTTATACAAGACATCAAAAGAGGCAGAGGAACTTTTTTTAAATTTTTAATAACCTCATGAACAAAGACAATGATTAATTGGAAAAGAATAAATGCAAACATATGCTAAAAATGTAAAATAGGGCATTTGTAGTCACAATTGCTAGACCCGTCCTTTTTGTATGGCATTTATATGGTCCCAAAGTTGAGTGCAACAGGAGGGACCACTGCTCCCTCTTATGCCAATGTGGAGGAAAGGGGACCCCGAGGTGGTTACTAAAATGAGATTAGCTCTAAGACTAGCTTAATTTGTAACATTCAGAAGCTCAACATATGGGTCTGAGTCATCATTGGGACTAAATATAAACCAGCATGCTATGAGTGGGTTAAAAATACTGTTTCCAAATAAAACTAATCAGAAGCAAAAGCTAAATAATAACATTATAAACCACGTAAGTAGAGACGTACTTGAAAGCAGAGGAAATTACCTCTCTGAACTTGGAATACTGTGTAGAGTCCTGATCACTCCAAAGCAGATTGTGAATCTTGAATTGAGTAGTACCTTACTCCATAAGCAACCTTTGTTGACTGCAGTGTGATCGCTCCTGGTGAAATGCACGTTGGACACAAGGGAGAACAACACAGTCTGGTCTTTATTATCTAAACCTCGTAACAAAAAAGGTGGAGCAGAGCTCAGCAAAAGATAAAGAGACTGAAAGATCTAATAAAAGCTTTAAATAAACTGGGTCTGTCATCTTTGTAAGGGAAAGGAGTAAGGGGTAATGTCACTGATGTGCACCAAACTGCACAGAGGAGAGATAAATAATGGTCTAAAACTTTTTGAACTAGCGGCAGAAATGAGGGACAGGGCACTGAATGATAGCAAAGGCAAAATGAGAACAAAATTATTTGGCAAGAAGTTTATTTGACTCATTGCCAAATGGATAATGAAGGTCAAAAAGAGAAGCAGATAGAGATTTGTTTGTTTTAAGATAACAACAAGGCAAATAATTGAGGGGAAGAAAAACGTTGACAACTGTTAACTCAGAGGAAGAAATGGACCAAAATGGACTTCTTTCAGCCCAACAATTGTATATATTCCTAAAGCATAGGAATAAGAAAGTATTTTTGATAAATTTAGTTCTGGATACATATTTATTTCACTTGTTCCTATGAATGATATGAATAAACTTGTACTTGGAGTCTCATTTTACAGTATTAAAATACAGTTTGCAAAGCTAATTAGAATAGAGGTACATGGTATCACACTATCCCTACAAGTACATATAAAACCGCACCTAATTGTCAATATTACTTTGTACTTCAAAAGAGTCTCCTAAACTGCTTGAATGAATGGGGTTTTCTCAGCACTCAAATTTCTTGGGATCACAAAGCTTGCTATCAAGCTTTTATTTAGAAGGCAATGGAGTTCTGCAGGCCAGCTGCAGTTCCCTGGCTGTGGTCTAATGGCCACAAGTGGCCAGGAAACCACACTTTGGAGACTGCTGCATTTGCATTTGACAGGCACCTTTGAAAAACAGAAGACTTATAAGACTAACAGGCACAGCATAAGATGCTGCAGGACTTCACCTTGGAAAAGAGGCCTGTGTGCTATGCAATAAAAGTCCCCCATCCTTATTTACAGTGATCCTAAGACTGTAGCTATTTATTCATATTTTCAATAGCTCCAATCCACTACAAAGGCAAGAAATGCACTGTAATGAATGGAATAAATCAGTAGAGATGTCTCTACATACAGCCATGTTGTGCTACAGGCCAAGGCTGAATCTCTCTCTCCTCATGGGATTCCAGCAACTGGCAGTCCTTAGCACTTCAATAGAGTATGCTGGAGATGGATGTCTCTTGTCAGCTTGTTTGCTAACCTGCTTCTTTAGATAGCCAGGAATTTCTTTTTAATTGACAGAAAGCATTGAGTTTTGCAAACATAGACTCTGCATGCTTCATGCTACATGAAAGCAAGTCTGCAATCTTAATTATAGCATATAATATCTCTGCAGCTCATATTACATGTGCTTTTCAATATGGTATAAAGCTTATTTTTTCCATTACATATTTATGTAATTCAAATTTTTATTTAGTATCCTTCAAGGATATAATCTCTTTTTTTATCTTTCTCCCTTTCCCAAATCAGATGGGAAGAAATATCTTGCAAAATTGAAAAATGCACAGCATTTGAAGCAAATAAGTTTCAAATGTATCACATTAGCTAAAGGTTATAATTTTAAATAAGGTATATATGTTGTGTTTTGGAATAGAAACAATATAAATTGCTGTATTGCATAATTTCTCTAATACTATACTAGTTTGCTATTAACACAAAATTAATATTTTGCAACTACTGCAAATACAGAGTGACCACAGCTCTTTCAAACAATTTCTTATTGATGTCAGTGGATGGTGCATTATGGTTTTTGTGCATTACAAACTTAGTACATCTCTTTTGTTTAATGAAATAAAAAAAACCCTAGTCTTTACATGAAATCTCACCCCATGGGCATAGAGTTTGTGATTCTGGACAAATTTGCAAAGCAATTCTTAAATTGAAAGAAGAACCTTACTCAGCAATTTGTCCCATTTATTCAAATGGGAATATTTGTGGATTAAGGTGCTACTTAGCATGTGCAAGGGGAGGAAAGTTGACTTTTATAATAGGTTTGAGGGCTGCTTGGTAATTCTGTTTTCCTTAAACCTCAAGATGTGAGTATGGAACTATGGAAGATAATAACTCTAATGGCTGTGTTTCTATAAAAGAGGTCATTTATGTTCTGAAAAAATGAGTGCATCTCTCCTAGCTGAAGAGCCCCAAAAGTATTTCTTAAGCTTTAAAATTGGCTTTTGTTGATCTGTCTGCAAATTTGCCGTGGGTTACACAGTAAAATTCTGCTCTTTTAAAGTCCTTTAATCACTGCAGCATTTATTCATTTATGTCCCTAAGTATGTTAACCACCATATGTTCATTTATGTGAGCACGCTGAGTGAGTTGGAAAAAATAAAAGGTGGCATATAATTTCTGGGACGGGCCCAGCCCCCCCAGAAAATCAGCCTGGATCTTCCAAAGGTCAGACAACCTTTCAGTCAGGGAACAAGGCTGTGGCAGACGTGTTGGTTTCAGACCCTCTGCATACAAACCTGTGTGTAATGGGGATTACAGCACACAGTTCCAGGATTAGACCTGGCTATGTCTATTTTAAGGTGGCTGTAGTTAATGGCTGGCAGCAAATGGATTCAGGCCCTGCTCTTTCCTTGAGCTGCAAGTTTACTTAAAGCACCTAAGAGCCTTAAGGCAGTACAGGCTTTGTTATTAGGAGCAATGGTGGATGAACATGCTTTCCTGTAGGTATACTGACTTAACTCCAGATAGCTCCACAGTGTGAAGCATAAGCTATTTTATTTGCAGTTAGTATTGATGGTTAAATATTTCAGCTGTGTGCACTGAGAAGCAAGAAAAAAAAAAAACCAACAACAACAACAAAAAAAAGCAAATAAAAAATGCCCCAAATTTCTGTAACCTTTCAGTCTGGTGTTTTGAAAGTCTTCTAGAGGTATAGCTGAGGATTTAGCTGTTATTTTGAAGACCAGAAAAATGAAATAGTCCTCTGTTCAAAACAGTGAGAGTACTAGTGTGATTCAATTTCACATTTCCTTAGAGCATTTACTAATTAAAAAAACCAAAATGCTGTGAGGTTAAACTTCACTGCAGCATTTAGCTTATGTATACAAGAGTTCTATAGATAAATCTGGCTCTAAGTTTTTAGGAAGATATCCCTTTTTAAATAGAGTAAATTTATGACTCCACCTATAAAGCTGTATTTGAAAGGAAAGATCAAATATAGGATGAAAAAAGGTTTTTTTTTCCTGGTTGCATTCCCTGTTTAACTCCCCTCTCACACAAATTTCTCAATCTTTCCTATTGTTCTGGGATTCCAAATATAATTTTAAACATTTTTATTTATTGCAATTTGGACTGCATTTATTATTTTCCTTTTCAGCTACTGATCCATTGGGAAGTTTCAAAGTGCAAGAAACAATCTTTTACACACAATACAAAATGTTGGCACCTTTACATTCTAAGGAAATAAAGTCTATGAGAAAAAGTATGTTTAGGGCACTGCAACTTTTTCCCAGGGTAAATATTTCAATGCATAAAATATACTAATCTAATAAAAAGAAAGCACTTGAGACATGATGAAGAATTTAATGTTTGCTTTAAACCAATGGTTACATTTAAGGACAAAAAGACTCAGATTGCCAGTGTTTCAAATACCATGCTTTGCAATGTAAAGGGTCTAGTGACATTGTAGCATAACATCTGTAGTTTTCCTTTGGAATGTAATGTAGAAAATATAATTTAGTTATGTCAACAATATCTTGCAAAGTGTTCCCATTTATAATTATTTATATTGTAAATAGCTTTCTGAAGTAAATTTGAAGTTAATGTGCATAAGATGTATTTATTATGTGAAGATTTTTTTTTGTTTGTTTAAAATATAGCTACCAATATGCAATTTTTGTCTGTTTTTCTAGATTTTTAAACTAAAGATTGTCCTATATAGTATAAATTTTGAGGAATTTATTTTAATTAATGAGAGTATTTCTTAGCATTGGGAGGGGACAGGGTAAAATAATTTATTTTGGTTCCTGTGAATCCTAAATGCTCCCTGAATTTTGAATGGAGTTTATCAGCTATGAAGACACACTGATAAGATACTGCTACCTCAAGATGCCTCAATCTACTCAAATACTATTCTTTAAGGAAGAACTTAATTAAGATTAATTATCTACTTTGTGAATAACCTTCCTTATTTTTGAAGGCATCCTGAGTACCCCTGTGCCTCAGCTGAATCACTTGCTGACTTGGAGCATGATGCCCATTAGGTGCTCGAGGCAGTGTGCTCAGAGAGCAGTGTTCTGACCCAGGAACGGGTCAGGATTTGTTAAATTGCCCTCAGGCCTGAGAGCTGGCTGTGACCTGAGGGTTTGTGCTTGGGTATCTCAATCGACCCAGAGTGACAGGAGCCAGCCTGCAGCACCTGAGCTGCTGTAACCCTTGCCTGGTCTGGGCTTTAGGTCCTTCCTGGCTCGAGTTCCAAGTCACAGCTCTTACTTTCTAGGGCAGTTTCTGAGCCCTCAAACCCTGTCCTCTCTGACACTGTCACTGAATCTCTTCCCTGCTGGGAAAACATCCAAGACAGATGGGCTCAGAGAGTGACACTGGTGCTATGATCAGGTGAGAGAGCAGCTTTCTCTGGAGAGAAAGGGGCTGTCCATGTATTTCCCACTCACAAGACAGAAAAAATACATGAGCATCAGGGGTGTGATGCACAGAAGAGTCAGTTTCGAGTCTCAGGGAATACGCCGCAGCCTTGAGTTAGAAGTTTAAACTGCATTCATGATGTTGGCATTTCCTTTGGGCTAATTTAGGCACTTCCCCTCTCTTTGGCCTGAATTTTGGTCCTGGTTCTCATGCAGGTAGGAAATAGCATTGTCTTTTCACCAAATTATGCTGTTTAGCAGTGCAACACATGCAGAGTGTCTCTTTCTTTTTCTTTCTTTCTTTCTTTCTTTCTTTCTTACTTTCTTTCTTTCTTTCTTTCTTTCTTTCTTTCTTTCTTTCTTTCTTTCTCTCTCTCTCTCTCTCTCTCTCTCTGTCTCTCTCTCTCTCTCTGTTTCTCTGTCTCTCTTCATAGGTGAGGGGTTTCAGAAATATTCTTTTTTGGCCTACCTCTCTGTCTCTGAAGCCAATACTAAGAAACACAGGCAGTCATGAGACCACATTGTCCTCCCTAGAACAAGAGTAGTCCCAGCTTCTCCATGTAAAGCACTGCTCTAAATCTGAGTGTCACCCTCATCTCTGCGTCCTTTAAGTCCTGCCCTTCCATGCCTGCTCCTCAGTCTCTTTTCTGGTGCCTGAAGGTAACTATTGCCCACTGGTGTCCATTCACTCTTGATTTCCATGCTCATTGGCAAATTGTTCTGCACTGAGGAAATCTGCTGTCATGGCCATTGTAATAAAAGTGTGCAATACCATCAGCAACTTCCTCTATCCACATATGGTGGCCATCAGAGGCTCCAGCATCAGCAATTTCATTTGATACAGCTCCTCTGACTGTCAGAAGGTCACAGAGAGCCTGCTGTGTGCCTGTGTGAGTAAAAGGGGCTGTCCACCACACCACAAAGCCTGACGGACTACATGGCTCAGGCATGCATGCAGCACTCTGGACTGTGTCCCCAGGCCAGGGGCGAGGCTGGGTACACGTGGAAAGAGCTTGGCCTGACCATTACCAAGATTTCTCTTCCTTGCAGACACCTCTCTCTGCCACAGTCTGTCATTGCCTTTCTCTCACAGTCTGTCACCTTGATTTTGTCTTTCATAGAAATTATCTGTTCTATTTACCTTTCCTCCCTTCTGCCCCAAGCCCTGGTCTGTGATCTAGCTTGCTCAGCTCTACCTTATTCTCTTGGTCCTGAAAATTTTGTGTTGCTTTTGATGAGGAAAATGGCTGTATAGCAACAGTTTCCATTACTTGCTTTCCCTTTTCCATTTTCCTCCTTTATGCAGCTGGTGTCAATGTCATTCTGAGGACCCTGCAATCCTTTTCTCTCAGGCATTAGTTCTGCTACAAGAGAGCTACTGGTTGAGGGAATGGAGGTGACGAACTTGTCAGAAAATCTACAGACAAAAGATGATAGATGCCTTCAGCATACCAAATATGCAAGCTACTTTAGCTGCACTGCAAAATGTTGTCATTTCTGGCCTGCAAACTGAAGGTAAAAATGAAAACTGAGACCAGAGAACATACACCTGTATTTGAAAATAACAACAAAAGCTACAACCAGGTGCATCTGAAAGGGAAACTTAAAAATTGGGTCATTTTCTAAATGCGCATTAAATTACATGCAAATAATTAAACATTGATAATTGCTGTTCATCTCATCACTATTTTTCATTTGTACATTATTATCATGAACTATCATCAGTGTTGTCATTTTTGTCATGTTATCTGTATTTTTCCTTTTTGATCTATACTATTTTTTAATCTATAAATAAAAGTATTCTATAATAAAAGTATTAATATAAAATGCAGAGCAGAAACCGACACCTGGAAAATGGAACCCAGAAAGTGTCAGCATATTTCAAGCTTTCAGCTGACTTTAAGCTCCATGATTTTGTACCCAGTGTATCAGGTGGTAAATTTCACATGGGAGCCAATTTTCACATCCAGCCATATTCCTAGGAATTTTTAGTATGACATATTTCAAAGCTATATCAATGCTCTGTTGCAAGTAGATAAATTTGTACATTATCAAATGTACTACACTTTTGGATCTTTTTTTTACTTTTTCTTACAGGGAGATGTGAGAATATGGTGATAAGAGTTTAAGGCACTTTTTCAAGCTGCATGCTTTCAATTACCTCTCAAGATACATTTCCAGAGACAATCTCATTCACTTTCAAAGGGCAAGCTGTAATCTTTTTATAGCTTCTTCCATCTCCCTTGAAGCTTGAGATAGTTCTGAACTATCCCAAGTCTGTACACTTGGGATCTGCTAGAGCAGCCTTGATGCTACACTGATTTCTGCTACCCACCAAGATTGCCTGCCTACTATTACAGTGACCTTAGATGGTCACTGTGGTGAGAGAAGGACGAGAATCTTGTTCCTTGATCAGAAGGCTTGATTTATTGATATAAGACATATAGTACATTATAACTATACTCAAAAGAAAAAGAAGAGAAGTTGCAGAGAGCTGCTCAGCTAAGAATAGAATAGAAAGAATGAATAACAAAGTTCTTTGTTCAGGGAATCTGTCCCTGAGCTGCTCCTGTGATTGGCCTTTAATGGTACACATGGAAGATGAGCCAATCACAGGGACACCTGCTACATTTCACAGCAGCTGATAACAATTGTTTACATTCTTCTTCTGGGGCTCTGCTTCCCAGAAGATGGACAAATGTGAAAGAAAGGATTTCTATGAAAAAATGTCTGCGACAGCCTACCTGTTCATCCCATGGAAAAGGAGGTGGCCCTCTATCTTGTAGAGAATTATCAAGGGCAAGAGAGCTGAATTAACAGTGAGCACCACACCAACATATATAACCACTTTTTTACATTAGCATTGTCTATTTTATGAGGTAAAGCACATTAGGCTGCCACCCTTCTTCTGTGCTATTATCTTCACAGGTGGTAAGAAAACCAAGGAAGAAGGTATCAGAAGATGTGAAACTATACATTTTCTCCTATATTGTCTAGCAAAACTCAGTGAAGATGCAAGAGATTATTGTCATCACACAGAGTAAATGCTTGCCCAGTGGAGTCCTGCCTGTGTGCACCAGGTAAGGCAATTTTGTTGGGAATGCCTTTTTGCTCTGCCAGAGCTGGTGACACTGTGCTGGCGTGTACAAGCTAGCCAAAATTCCATGCATGAATGTCAGTGTTTTCGAAATTGGTGATGTGTCCTGTCAAAAGACATTAGGATTGCTGTCTGCTGAGCCTTTTGCTCCTTTTCTTCTACTATTGCATCCATTTGGAGCCCAGGATGGGGAGAGCTGAGACTGCAAACAGCTTATACAGTTTTGACAGGAGTTAGATGCATTTTTCGTTTGAAACTTCTTGATTCTGACACAGGACATTTCACCAGGTTATGAATTATTTTAACAAAAACAGAACTGTGTTTTGTCTGTCTGGTTTCTCTGTGGGACAGTTGTGTCTTTTTTTTTTTAAAGAATACCAGTGAAAGGCATCCTTTGTGTTTTCAATTTGGAGAGCAATAGTGAGGTGAAAAATACAGCCTAAGTGTTAAGTCTATTTTCATCAAGGGCACAACTGTGCATTTTGATATTGAGTTTCTGACTTCTCTCTAATCACAAAGGCAGAGCCTTTCTTCTGTGCTGCTTTCTATTTAACCTCCAAAACAACTGCAAAGTATTAGAATGACTCCAGTACCCTCTTCAGCATGAAGGTTTCTTGAGCTTAAGAGAAATGCTCATGGTTTCATTAGGCTGGTTATCTGACAGGCTGCTCATAGAAAACAGCTGATTCTTATTTTTATTTCTTTTACTGAACAGCTTTGGCTTCCTGTGATCAATCTTCTTGGCTACAGCAGCAAATATGCTAAACTGCAGGTGCCAACAAGCTTTGAGACAGATTCAGGCTTGAATGTTGACCCATGGCTGTGTTTTTTGTGTCATGAAATAGCCCACCTTGTGTACAACTATTTGGTCTATTCGTTGACTTGGGGTTTTAACTTAATATGTGCTTATTTACTTACGGAATTAGATCCAGTGTGGGAGAGATGCAAAGCAGCCAGTGGTTTAGGAGTTTAGTAAATAATCTCAGCTTTGTTCAGTTTTGCTCTAGGTCAGATTGCTGCATGGAGTAATTCCATATGGAAACCTGATTTGAGCTTACTCTAAGTAAACCTTAAAACGGATTTTGGCAAAATCCATCCAGCCATCAGGAACCCATTCTCAGTTTCTGCTGAGGATTTCCTGATCGCTTTCTTAGATTAAAAAAAGCATCAACAAAAAAACAACAGCAAATGAGAAAAACTTTGAAACTTTTTTGCTGTGTGAAATACTTGTTCCCCTCTCCCTGAACATTAACCATCAAAAAGCCCTTTAGGCTGCTCTAATTTATGCCTAGAGCTATGGAAGTTAGGAGGTGCAAACACAGCTCAATGACTTTGCCTTCCCCGTGTGCTTTGCTCCACAGCGCTGGCGATCCCACGGGGGAGAACCAGGATGGGGCCGAATTTCTGCCCTTCTGCCCTGACTTCTGTGCCCTGGTGCAGGGCAGCAGCTGCCTGGTCTCTGTGCCACTGCAGTGTGTGGGCCACCAAAGCCTCTGCTGCTCTGCCAGGGATGAGAGGGAAGCACAGGGTTTGAGCGGTGAGAGCCTCTGTGGGCTGCCTCCAGTGCTCGAGAGCCAGCGGTAAAATCCTGGCATTAATGAAGCTGTTGACAGAAATACTTTGGTCCCACTGAAGCACGGCCAAAAATGTAAAAACATTTTGAAAACAACACTTGAGGCAGCTCAGTGTACCTCCCTCAATAGAGCGACTGAAAGCAGAAGTAAACAGAAAGATTTACTTGTGTTGGGAACAAACATAATTTAAAAAAAATGTGGGTAGGGAAACAAGTACACACAAAAAAATCCTCTCCTGTAATTTGTCTGAACGATGCCAAATGTGAACAAAAACCCTGAGATAAAACTTGGGTTAGAGAGTAGAAATTCTGGCAGGGCTATTTTGAAGTGGGGCTCTTAGGAAAAGCTGCTGATTGAAATCAATACAGCAAGACCCAGAATCTGAAAAGACCTTTTCTGAGCTCTGAGAGGGTCACTGAGCAGAGCTGTCAGTTGAGAGTATTGAGGCTGCAATTGCCTTCACCAAGGTGCTTCAGTGTTTGCTTTAGTGACTTCTTGCAACCAGTGGCTGAGCATACATTTAACATCCCACCTGAGATCACCCTGCTGGGGGAGGGAACTTTTTAAAGACTTCTATAGCTTAAACAACTCCCTCACCAGCCACATCACCACGTCACATTTTCTGTATACTAATCAATAATGTTTGATTAATGCACGGAATCACATTAATTGAAGAAGTTACTATTTATGGAGACAAAAGGGACTGAAGTTCTCTGTTTTCTGCTTCTGTTTTTTAAAAACATTCGTTCATTTGAATTTTTAACAAATTGTGATTTATCACAGGAAACATTTTTAAGCAGACCTTATTCAATATTATCATTTTCAAACAATATCAATAGACCATTTTGATTTGAGTTTATTTACTGATTATGTAAGACTTGATTAGGTAATGGCTTCACAGGGATGGGCAAAATACAGATACTCCATTACATTGCAAATTACTGTGAGCATATCCTGGTAGTTTATCACAAGGTGATGGAAATAAACAGAGAAACTGCATTTCCATTTTTTTCATGGCATTCTTTTTCTTGCACCAGAATGGCACTGTTACAGAAATATTATCAAAAAATCAAGAGTGAAAACTGAACTTTTTGGTTTTGCCTTAAAGGAATTAGCAGCATTTTGGTTACAGGTTACATGTACAATGGCTATTTTAAAGTGCTGTTTTTAATGCTCACTTAAAAACATGCTACTTTATGAACACATGAATAATTCATTCAAATTCAATTACACTGTATTTGTATTTCAAGGAGGTGCAGAGGAGAGAGAGCATTCAGGCGGAGTTTGCCCAGCCCAATATTTCCATTTTAATTACTATCTATTTTTAGCACTCAGCTTCTCAGTAAGTCACTTCAGTTCACTGAGGTAAGTGAGGCTGTACAGACTGGTTCCAGCAAAAAATCTCAAAATCTCTCTTTCTAGTTGTGATAATTTCCTGAGAGAATGAAGCTCATGCAACCACTTGTGAATCTAAATTCTCAAAAATTTTGTAAAAATAGGATGCTGCAGAGAAGCAAGAGACCATCTGTGCCACAGCACAAATAAAGTGAGGCGTAAGTTTTCTTTTTCACAACATCAGAAGATGGAATCCTAGATGCAAGGCTCCAGACCATAGAGAGTGAAATTCTGTGGGTTATCTTCTACAAAACTGCTTACTTTATTGTATTTAAAGTTACCTCACTACTATCCATTAAAGTCTAGTTAGTAGATCACTTCATGTGCCTTGAAAAGGCTAGATGGTCTACAGCATCAGGAGATAAACTAAGATTAAAAAATGTCCTATTACAAGTGGATATGAATCTGTAAAATGATTTAATATTTTAAAAATAATAACCGGATTTAGGACTGCTTTCTTGAATATTAATAAAGTTAGGGAAAAAAATAGGTGTATTTTCAAGCAGTGTCCTTACTTTTACTGTAATATTTCTGTTCAGCTGATTTTTGTTACCATGTCTTGGAAATTATTTGGGAAGATAGTGAAGACTGCTATAAAAATGTATTACATTGTCATAAACAGTTCATTGTCATAAACAGTAAACAGCTAGTTTTAAATCAAAATAGAACTGATAAAAGGAAATGCATTGTGCTATCAGACATTGCTACAATGAACACATAAATTCCATGAGGCGAAGAAGGACAAGGAGAAAGCAGGCAAATTTAGTGGCACAATGCATTTGCAATATGGATTGCACTTATCTTCTTATTTGCCACAAACATGTAATTTATGTGTAACAGGAGATGCATGACACTATAAATTACATGATGGAGGAAAGAAGACTTTGTTAGTATGTAATTTAAATTAAATAGTGTCAAATAGAAAAGTGTAGAGGTCCAACTACGTCTTGGTGTAAGTGTATTATACATATAGGTTTTTCAAAAACACTCTTCCAATTCGCTTTTACTGTCAGTGAGACGCAATAATATTAAAATAACAAGCACCTGAGGTGACCTGGGGTTTTTCAATGTTTATATGGCTGTATCTACGTTGAGATCCTTAGTGCCTCTCCCACTAGACCATATTCCATATTTGCCAGTTGCACACCTCCACTCCCTGGAAAGTGGTTACCCATTGCTGAGCTGCTGCAGCTGTGAAGGATCTAGTCACTGTCTTGGTCAGTTTTACTCTGAAAACATGTGGCAAGCTGAGAAAACATCTTGGTTTTCCCTTTTCCCTTTAATTCATTTTGTTTCTAACCTTGTACAAAAATCCAAATAAAAGATATTTCAGAACGCAGACCAAAAAAAAAAATAAGGCCGAGGTAAGAGTCATTTAGGTTGTTACAAGGATAACAAAGAGGCACACAGATCTACAGAATAAATTTCTGTTTGGAAACTGATGGATGTGTGTAGAAGGAACACAGACACAAGACCACAAAATGAAATTGGCAGGAACATAATTACCTAAGCTTCCTCTAACTTAAAAAGAAAGATTGTGAGGACTTACTAGCAACTAATCTGCTTTTGTTTATCTGCATTTGTTGATTTGCTATCTTTTGCACGAGAAAAATAACTGTAGCGCTATAACAAATCTGCCCACCTCTACATACCTCATTCCAAAAATATTTCAGCAAATCCAGCAGTGGTTTTCTGTGAGTAACCAGTGACACACCAGATCTTCAGTGAAGAGAAAAGAATAGATATAGAGTTTTTTAAAATGTCTTTTTCTTATGTCTGGGACGAAACACAAGACGTGCCTGTGAGTCTGATCACTAAGGAAACAGAAGAGAAATAATAATTTCTCTTTCTGTCAGAGTCTGTGATTCAGATTCTGGTATCATTTACATCTTCATTAAGATCAGGTTATTCTCAAACAATCTGGAAAGACAGATGTTTGGGGGCTGTTTATGTTTCTATATCATTTTTCATGCAATGATAAGAGAATTCATACTATCAATATTTTTTTCCCAATGGCCTTATGGCTAGAAGACAGTAAATGAGACATACAAACTCATTTCCAGACAGTGTTAAACTTGGCACCAAGTATGTGGTTAAAGACCAGTTTTGAAGTCTTTGTGCCTGATTCCCACCCCAGCCACTGCAGCACAATGCAGGAGGTTGCCTACACTGCAGTCAGAAGATGTCCACCTTGGTACAGCTTTACAGCAGACTAATAGAGGCAAATAAAAAAAGTATCCTTGAATCACAATGGTGTAAAAGAGAAAGAGAAGGCAAAATGAGCCTGTCTTACAACAATATACACTGTTCTCATGGATTCTTAGATGCTGTTATAAACAAACAGCAGGTGGTTTTAATTGAAATTATCCTCACTAATTTTGAAGCTGTCACAGACAGATCTAAGGCAATTTATTGTGGTCTAGTTGGAGTGGATTGCTTTTTTCCTTGGAAATGTTCAAATGTTCAAATTGTCTTCAATTTCAAGTAGAGGCATCTTCTTGGCCTTGCCTGAGCATACAGGGCTTTGAAAAAAGCAAGACAAAGATTTATAAAATATTCCAGGAAGATCAGGTCACATCTTCCCCAAATGTTCCTTAACGTCTTTTTTAACAATATCAACAATAACTTGTGCAGGTTTTGACAAGTGTGCCAGTAACAGTGCAAAAAAAAAAAAAAAAAAAAATCAATGTCCACCTCAGGCACAGAGCTATTGCTCATGAACAGATTGATGTGTTCACACACAATTGCTCTGAGAGGCCCTAGACATGTTGGAGTCAAATTGGCAAAACTGGTAGCAACTGGGTTCTTGCAGCAGCCTCTGAAAGAGAGAGGCAGATGTCTACCCTATCTTGCAAACACATTCTTTTACAATGTGTTACTTCATCTTTTTTATTGCTCAAGAGGAAAGTGGGAGACAGGGAATCAAGGATAACACTAATGATAGGCCATATGGAATACATAAACAACGTTGTTCCAGAATAAGATGGTCTTTAAAGGGGCGGGGGTCTCATTGTGCTTGGGCCAGACATTGCCTAACTGCTCAGGTGGAAGAGGGAGAATAGGTGAGAATAAGGAGCAGACGCTGGGAGTATGTGATTCAGCTCAGAGCAAGGTTTTCTGGAAGATATAAAGAGCAGCCTAAACCCCTTCAAAGGTCTGAGCTCCACTGTATTGAAATAATGTACTCCTGCTCACTGGGAGCTGAACCTTCCTCAAAAAGACTACTGAAGAAAAGACTATTTTGAAACTGGATTAAGATTTGGCCTGTTCAGGAACCACTTAGGAAATCCTGCAATTTATGTGAGGACATGGGGTCCCCAAGGAACTAACTGAGAGAACATCCTCGAGTACAAAATGCCCTTTTTTTGACAGAGGGAAACCAGTTATAACAACAAAAGCTCAGGGCTGTCTTAAAATCAAAACAAACTGGGTCCTGCCACTTTTACTGCTTTTAGAGCTCATTTTGGATAGCACTGTACTTGGCAAGCCACTCTGCTGGAAGTGGTCATTGCCCTTGGTGCTAGAGCCTGAACCAGCCTAGCCCATGGGCCAGCAAATGGGCCAGCTGTCTGTGGCAAGGATGCTAGAGGAGTTAGATATTTCTCTTCATATTGTGTGTAACTGGCCAAAGTTTTAGCTGCATAGGGAAGAACGATAGTATCTGTCTCCCACAGCATATGTGAAGATTTCAGGTTTTGGCCTTGCTGTATTTGACCTCATTTAGGACAAGAATGCTTTTATCTAAATCAAAGCCAATTTCTAGTATTAGTCTGAACTTGTGAAGACCCCCAGTGAACAAAAATATCACAGGAATTAGGCAATATGTTGAGAATGCATTTTGAAGTTTTAAGCATGTGCTTAAGTGCTTTTCTGGCTCTACTTTAATGAAAGATGGAAATGTAATGTGGAAATATGACCGAGAAATTGTGTTTCATTAAACTTGGAATGAATCCCAGCAATGAACAAGACTCAAAATGAAGTACCACTCTGAGATTTAAAAGTAGTTTCTCTTGGTATTAATTCTCTCCATTTCACTCCTGGAGCTCATGGAGAGAACACCACAGCAAGCCTGCTTGCTACATTTCAAAATTAATATAAAATATAATACAATAATTATTGCCTAGTGGACTGTCACACTAGGGCATGCTGGAACCACAGCACAAACAATGGCAGAGGAATGAAAGCATAACAGGAGAATTCTGATTGTCTGGCATCCTTGGAAAGAGTATAGACACAGAAATGGGTAACATTCTGTATTAAATGGTTAATACTGAAGAAAAAAAGCCATTTTTATTTTCATCTAGTTTTTGATGCAATTCCATAACTTTCTTAGTAACAGCAAGAAAATAGAAGTGGGTTGAGGGAGGGACCTTCATCTGATGCAAACATGGTAACTGTGCTGACTTCTGCATGCTTTTTTGGGGCAGGGCACAAATAACCAACTTGAAGTGTCCCCAGAGGGTTTTCTAGATGGGGGCCTGTGTCTTTCCACAGCTTTAAACAGGTGACCAGCAGAAAGCAGTCACTCAGCCATCTCACCCAAGCCAAAGAGAGGAGTCAGAGCAGGTGTCCTTTCTGGTGTCTCAAAGAGGCAGAAAACGTCTGAACAAAAAGGCAGTCAAATTCCTGGGGAGATAGTGAGGGATTCTGGGAGGAACAATACTCTGTTGTTTATTGCAGGATCTCCTGGCTGGATTACAGAAGAGGAGTCTGGGTTTTGTCTCTCTGCACAAGGGGAAGTGACAACTTGGGAGGAGGTAATTGTGCGGAGACTTGGTGACCCCCCTGTCCTGGGAGTACCTCGGTGCTCATCACACATCTTTGCTGTGGGGATGGTGGTTTTTAGCAGAGTTTGTGAGGACAGTGCTACCACGAGCATGGCAGGCTGAGCAGTGTGTGATGAAGGCTGCTGCATTGGGTCTGAGCTCAGTGGATCACTGCGTGTGTTGACAGGAGACTTAGACAGTCTTCCTCTTCTGTATTTCCTGGAGCTATAGATTTTGACTATAAGCCAAAAGCTAAATGGATCCAAACTGATGCAGGATAGGTCAGTCAGTTGCTGATACATGTGATGGTCTGGATGCAATCTGGATGGCGAGGATGGTGGGGGGGGAGTTTGTGCTCTGTTCCTCACATGAAGCCATTGGCTGTTACTGTTGTAATCTGTGACAACACAGTCCAGCCTTTAACATTAATCATGAAAAAAGCACGTCATATTATCAATTTGCCACACTTCCTAATTTCTTAATTTGATACAAGATCGGCAGAAGCATCTTTTAAATGAAAATATTGCACAGTTAAGGATACTGTAGCACAGTAACATGAATCAGCAAATTCATCTCTGAATACAATCAGTTCTTTTTTAACATGCATACCCTGGACACCCATGAGAATCCACTGCATTATAATGGGGAAATGCATGAAAAAGAAAATGGACTATGAAGATGATATATACAGGAATTTTCCCTGTTGTGACTTTTAGTGGACTTTTTCATGGTTCAGCAGGAGACCTGAGCTATGCTGAGCAATTACCAAACAGCATGGCAAACTAACAAGTGCATTTTCTGTATGTTATCTCCAGTTTAGTGGAACTTTGGAGGGCAGCAGCCCACCAGTAGATCACAATTCATTTTGGCAGGCCATTTTGTGTGCATTATTGACCTTTACTTGCTGTCCATAAATCCTTGACAATGCCGACGCAGAAACGCACCAAGTGACCTTTCAAAAAATGTTGGAAATAATCCGTTGCAGCTGCAGGCCGAGGACACTGACCATACTCAAGTATAAATCTCTCCATCAGCACCATGGACTGCTGGCAAGAGCATCATACATACTCCCCAAACTGATTCTCCACACCAACAGGCCTGATGTCCCTTATGAGAAAGAAAATTCTCACTAGTTAAGAGTAACAGGAGAAAAATCCCCTTTTAAAGCTGGCTATGTGAGAAAAATTTAGGACAACGTTGGTTTGACCTTCCTCCAGAGCTGGCTAGCAATCAGAGCATCCTCTTTTGACAGCTCTCTGTGCAAAATGTTCTTAGCACCAGTAAGGTTCCATTGACCTTAGCATCCAGCCCAGAATAAACTGTACATTTCCTGCTTTTTAACAGGCATCCTTCCATGTTTCAAGTACAAGGCTTTCCTTACAAAAGGATTTGTGCTTTGTATACTCTCCATTTGCAGGGTGAAATATTAGTTTTATCCTTTCTTCTCAAGGAAAGAACCTCCTTGGGAGCTGAATCCTCTGCTGTGATGAGCTCACAAGTACTGCAGTTGTGCAGGGATCCTCATGAGCCACCTGGGCTCTTGAACCACATGTCTGGCTTAGCTCAGCTGTGTTAGGGACCAGTCACACAGGGCTTACTGTCTGTGGGAATGGTCTTAACTTGGGGTCACAATGGATAAACTGCTTTCAATGAGCTCTTGAAGAGCATTTTCTGTAGACTGAGAGCAGAGTAAGTTTGCAGGTGGTTTTACCTTGAGATACTTAGTTCAAATCCCTAAATTAATTTGCTTTGACTTCTATCTAGTTAGGAACTACCCCATAGATTTTCTATTAAATTGTGATAAAATATATTAGTATATATGTTAGATAAATATCACATGCTTCCAAATAGCTGTGCAGACTTCTGCATTTATTTGGCAAGGAGGTGCACAAAGTTCTCTTTCAGGGAAATTTGTATGCCTCTGTGTAGAATGTGATTTGAGTAACCGAGACACAATCTATAGCTGAAGCACAGAGGTTTGTAACAAAGTGGCAGAAATCAACTGTTTGCCATGGTTGAAAGAGGAGCTGTCTTTTTATATCAATAACAGGGGGCAATTATTAAACTTAAGGCTACAGAATACAAGATCAAAAATCTCTCACGCTGTCAAACTACGAAGTTCTCTAAGTGCCAAGGTAAGGGTAAAGTGATGATGATGGGAGATTCTGCATGTGGCAAGGTGACTTTTGAAATGTGCTGTGCCAATCTCTGTCATATATAAGGGAAAGTTCCATTTCGGTAAACAGAAAATACAAAAGCCACATATCTATTTGCTTCAGAGCAACACTGAAAAGAAAATCTGTATCATATACTCATTAAAGTTACAAAGCTCACTGGATTGTTACAATGGATACTAATAATATTAATAATGTATCAAATTTCCAGAGCAATGTAATTCAATCTGTTTAAATTTCTTTCCAGAAAAATTATTCATATGAATAGCAGGGAGAAGAAAGCTACATAAATAAAGGTAAGTGTGGAATGAGCATTCCTTTCCTTCTGTTTCTTCCTTATTAAATGTCTTGGGTATTGTTATCAAAATGGTAATTTTTCCAGCCCTTTTTTTCATTATCTGTTTTCCTTTGTCACCCAGGGACTTGATTAATACAAATTTACCTTTACTAATGTGCCTCTTTGTATTTTCTTTTGCGTTTAATTCTGTGAAAGAAGTAGTAGTAGCATGTTATGCATGTTAAAGTGCTTCACGTTTTTTTTCCAGCTGCCTAGTATATATTTTTTGTAGTTACTGTTTCTACATTTGTTTCAAATTTCCCTGCCTCCTTGAAGTAAGGTATAATAGTTTTGAGAAGTAGAGCATGGTATTAGACTCATCTGTGTAAAAGGGAATTCCAAAAGCTTAGGTGAGATTCTAACACTTTTTCTCTTTCCTCCTGTAAGGCCAGGGACCATGTAATGATGGTCTATATAAAACCACAAACCTCACCATGACTCCATAGATTATTTTCATTCTGTACTCCCTGAGTTCAGTGTAATTACTAAGCAATGGAGAATCTGATAAAGTTCTTCTGAAAAATCAGGGTTAGAAAATTTCTAAGAAGTCTAAAAACTGTACCTTTTATTGGATATGCAATTAGCAGAAACTGTTCATAACTGTATTTAAACCTTTGGCCAAAAAAAAGATAAAATAACGTAATCTACACCGCTTGAATGTTTTGAAGCATTTGGCTTAAATTAAAGCAAGGATTTAAATGTATTTTTCTCTTGGCAGCATAGTTTTTATGCAGAAAGTTTCAATACTGTTTCATCAACTCAATATCTGTTTCTTTTTATAATGTCCTTTAGATATATATTACTTATACTTGCTGCTAAAAATTTATTTGTTCATACTGGGGTTGTATGTCTTCAGGCCTTATATGCTCTTGTGGTATAGGAGATTTTTAAATTCAGTTCCAAAAGGTCCTCACATAGAAGGAGCTGGAGCCTCTAAGTTAGAATTTCACATTCCAAGGAATTTCTTTGGTTTGCTTCATCACCTCATTACTGAGGATACTGAAGACAGTGGTCGTGAGCAGCAGAATATTTCCACAAAGCAAATACAGAAGTTCTTTTCATCCTCTCTATCACTCATTCCTCTAGTGGGTTTGTAAAATTCATGGAAACAGGTGACTAAATGTGAAAAGAATTCCACTAGTAGATCTGCTTAGTGGAGGATTCCCAAGTACTTCTTTCACTCTTCGTGATTTTGCTGACCAAATTTTAGGTACCCACAGCATCTTTAATGTCAGCTTTGCTTCTATTCCAGCTTCACATCTCTCTGTTGATCTGGGAAGAAGGATCCAGGCTGGAGACCTGGTTTTCTTGGAAAGCCATTTAAACCAATTCCACCACATTTCACTTTCCATATGCTCCCATCTCAAATTCCAGTAGCTGAGGTAGCAGGGAAGGAGTTTTCATGTTTTTCACTGTTCATTCTCAGTCTCAACCAATCATAATGCTGATGTCCCTAAGAGTAATCACATGGAGTTGTCACTTCTCCAGATAAACAGTTCATGACACTATTGGGATTTGGGCAAGTTTTTAATGTTGCATTAACCTGTTCTGAAATAAAATGCTTTAGCTTCCCTGATAAGAATTCAGAAAAAGAAGAAAAAGAAAAAGAAAAAAAAAAAAAAAAGAAGAACAAAAATATATTAATCTAGCACTTGGCAAGCACCTATGCTTAAAACAGCTTTTTAAAACAGCTTAAGAGCTGCTCCTGTGCTTTCATAGGTATCCCTCTGCTGGATAACCACCAAGAGAACGGAATCAGAGCTGGCATTTGGCTGGAAAATTACCTATGTAAGAAAGTTGTATTTCTACTGGATCAGCTCCCTGGTCCTGCTCCCTGTGAAGCTGGTAGAGGAGAGCGAGGCTGGTAGTGCAAGGAGCAAGCACCTTGGACAGAGATTGCCACAATTAGCAGCACTATCAGAGTGACAATACTGTCAAAATAATCTGTGTTTCCATACAAAACACTTTCAAATGGCAGTCTCCAAATAAAACCCCTTCTTACACCACAAACTCATGGCCAACCTTGTACCAACATTGTGAAGGTTCTTAATTTTGTGAGACAAAAGAATTATTTGTTGGGATATTGAGTTTGAGGATGAACTGACTCATCTGGCAGAGCATTCAGTTCAATTAATTTATTGTCCAAATAATTCTTTTGAAGGAATTATAAAGATGGTTTGTGGAAATCAAACTCTTTTGAGCCATCAAGAACTGATGAAAAATGTTCCTTTCTGTGGTAAACATCCTAAAAGTATGTCAGTATAAAAGAGGAGTTTCTTAAATCAAGACATTGCTAATGGATTTTTCTGGAAAGTGCAATAAGAGAACAAGCACGGGTTGACCATAACTAGAATGATAATCACAGTCTTTTAATTGTCTAAACACTACTTAGAGATTTTTATTCCATCTAGATAATGTGGGTTTCCCAAATATTTAAATTTGCATATTTGTCTATAACTCTTGAAACTGGGCAGGCTTTT